CGTAACCGCGGCGGCCGTCGGGGGGCAAGGCAGGAACCCGCCGCTCCCGAACCGCCGCGGGTGCCAGCGCTCCAGCCGGTCCTTAAATATCCTCGTTGAGGATCCCGAGATCACCTTTCCCACATGACCTGGATGTAATCCCCCTCTGTCCTACATCATGCCAGCAGCAGCTGCAGCGGCGTGCCCTATATAATGTTAGCAGGGAGGAGGACTTCACTGCGGCTGCTGGCATGGCTGGGCAGTTGGAGAGGGGGGTCTCTCCCAAGTTTTCACAATCACAAGCAATTCCTTGTGATTCCCCAACCAGTCCCCCTGTTCCAGCAACAGGGATGCCGTGCTGGGATTTAAGCTTCTGAACATACAAAGGGAGCAAATGTTGCCAAGTTCATCCCCAAAAGCACAGGTGGATACTGAGGAGCTTCAGCACAATGAATAAGCTTGCAGAAGTGACAGATGCTACAGCCACAGGCTTCTCCTATCAGCAGTTGTTGCCTCTTGCTGCAGAAGGGCCGGCTGCAGTAAACCTACTGCATAGCGCTGTGAGTGGGGAAAGGAAAGGGTGCGCAACCTCCCTGGGATGGCCCCATCCACACCCAACAGAGCCACAGGTGCCAGGGTGGAGATGTCCCCCTAAGTGCCAGCAGAAAAGGGACCTCTTCCTTCTGGGTAGACACTCAGGCATCTGCTTGGTTCAGCTGCCCCTCCACAAACCTCGGACATACCATTTTGGTGGCAAGGCACAATTTGACCTGACCCTTGCTAATAAACCCTGATGGTCTTTGCGATACAAAATCAGGTCTGAAATCCTCCCCATGCGTCCCAGGAAAAGCAACAGATTGGAAGTCGCGTGGGGTTGGTGCTTTCCTCCGTTGCCCTGCTGCAACGAGGACCAGGGGACGTCTCCATCCAACCTGGGCAGACAGGGAGCTGCCCTACCTGCCAGCTACTTCTCTTGCATAGGCTGAATCTGCTGCCTGCTTCGCAGTGGACAGGGGTAGGACTCCTGACACAACTCCTGCACGCGTGCTGCCCGACGGGGAGCTGGGAAAGGGCCACCTTGTTAATACAGGCTGGAACAGCGCGTGTTAATGCAGTGTTTATCAAGGCTGATAAATCCAGCTGCAAGAAGCAGGCAGAACAGGTCATGCTCCGCTGCCCAGCATGTTCCAGGGCTGCTGACTGCCCTCTGCAGACTCCCTCTGCCTTGCCAAGCTCAGCTGGATGAAGAAAAAAGCACATGCGTGAAAGGGAGATGCCACTTCACACAGGGCAATGAAACACAGATGTCAGACCACACATAACAGAGGCAGCACACATAGCTCAGCAAGGGGCAGTGGGCTCGCAGCGATGCTTTTGCCTGGGAAACAGCTAGTGGTAGGTGGTAGATGATAGAGAACACAACCTAGTGAGGCCAGGAAGGCCATCTTCTAGGAACAGGGCAAGGGGAGGTAGCCAAAGCGGGGCAGGCCACAGGCTTCCCATTCAGTTACGGCTCTCATGGTCACTTTGTTCCATTGTTGTTGATGCTGGAGGCCCCTGGGGATGATGCTGTGTCTCAGTACTGTACAGCGCTCCTTCAAGGAACAGGCTCTGTGAGCATCCCCCCTGCAGATCTCAATGGCAACTCCTTTGCTGGGTAACGTCCATATGAATGGAGGTTATTAAACCCACTCAGCAGCCTTTACTCCAGGGCTTTTGCTTTTAGATCGACCATATTCTTCCTCCAGCACATTTCCACCCAAGCTCCACAGCGCTAAGGTTTACTCTGCACCACCACTGGGTTGTGACTTTGCTTGGAGAGGGTTTAGCCTGTACAGTGTTAGCTGCTTGGCCTGAAGGCAGGAGTGAGTTCCTGGGGAGCATTCCTGTGGGTTCCCTCTCACAGCACCCTGCTTGGGCATCAGCCCTGCCCTGTCAGCTAGGAGGGAGGTTGCTCTGAGAGCTTTTCCTTGCCGCCTATGGGGATTAGGGGCTCAAGCCACTGCCAGCAGAAAGTGGGCACTGCACCATCAGCTGTACCTTCTTGGTTAAGCTGGGATCTGCCTGGATTTTTACAATTTCTCTTTTGCTCTGCAGCTGAGAAGGAAGAGAGGAGGACAATGAGATGTGAGGAGAGGAATGCAGTGGCCTTGGCTGTTACTGCTGAGAGTCTTGTCAGGGACAGATGATGCAGGGAGGCATGCAAGAAGCAGCCCAGCACTAGGCACAGAGTGTGGGGGGACACGTACAACAAGCCCCACTGGGAGGTTTGAATAGCAGAACACATTTCAGACAGAGGCCTGAGACCCAGCAAATCCAGACGACTGGTGTGTAGGTATGGAGACCCAGAAGGAGAGAACTGAGCTCTGTGGGAAGAGGACCATGACAGGAACACTGGCCTGGGGAGGGAAGTGGCATAATAAGGACAATTCTAAGGGTTACGGGAGGTGATGCTGAGAGGCAGGGTGGTCCTGGGGCTGCGGAAGAAAGCTGCCACAGAACAGCACCCTCAGCTGCCAAATAAGCCACATTGAGTTAAGACTAAATTATTCCCTCTGCAAATCATTGATCCCCCTTCTACCCCCCCACTCCAACTCTTGCCAAACAGATAAATCCTGCCAGCGCTCCTCCCTTGGATTAATTCAATCCACTTGGATGTGGAGACCAGAGATCCCAGAGAGGCAGCCAAACTTCAGCTTAGCCACAGCAAGGCTCTGTGCCACGTGAGCCTCCCTTGGCCGTTACTGCCTCCTCCCAGCCAGGTCTGCTTTCTACCTGGGTATCAGTCAGCTCAGAAAACATGCCCTGGTCCCCACACACAGCTTCATACTGTGTGATATGTAAACACACCCGTTAGCGGGCAAAGTCTCAGCAAAGGAGAGAGCCAGCTCACAGGTGGGCGCAGCGGAGCAACATGACAAAATCAGCCCCTGAGGGGGTACAGCAGCTCCCCTTGCCCTATTAACCCGTTTCCCACAGGGAGCTGTGTGGGTGCCACAGGGCTCGCTGTATTCCAGCAGGTGTAGGCAGCCGCCTTTCCTGCCATGAATGCTTTACTGCTGCAGCAGCAGCCTTTTCTCCTGTTGACCTCGGAGCGAGAGCAGGATCCCACTCCACATTGTGCATCCGGCTTTTCTGCTCCCACCTCCTGGATCACACTGCCCCTCAAGACTGCAGAGCCGTCTGCGTGTCCTGGTAGCAACTCCCTACAGAAGAGCAAGCTCAGTGCATGTTTGTTTCTGTGAGTTCAAGTCACTCGTGCCTAGACATGAGCTTGTTGAGCCGAGGTGTTCCCACACACCTCCCCAGCACCCAGCAGCCAACATTAAAACACAACAACCAAAAAGCAGCTTGCCAAGGGCGTGTGGCATCCTATCCAAAACCAGAGAGTCCCCGAGTTGTGCGATGGGCACTTGAAGCATGCCGAGCAATAGAGAAGTGATCAGTCCAGCAAGAGCTAAGTGTTCAGCATGGCAGAAGCCCAGACTAAATAACCTCCTGGGTCCTTTCCATTTGTTTTCTAGGATGCTGCACAGAGAGTGGGAAAACCTAGGAGTACAGAAGCGCTCTTGCAAAGAAAACACAACATTTGCTGTGTTCCCCACCCCAGCTTTCCACTAATAAACAACTGCAGCATCAAACACAAAGTTTGCACGGAGTCAGCCTGCCCCACGCGGGCCAGGCTCCCCGGACAGTCTGCGTCCAGGAAGAGGCAGTGTCTGGAGGCTCAGCAGTTATTAACCTGGATGGCAATCCTGGAAGTCGCTCCTATGTGAGCACGGAGATTTGTGCCCAAGCCTTCTTTGTGCACAAAGCTTTGAGGGTTTCCAAGAAGTAGCTGAGTGCAGAGATTAAAAGGATCAGGAGCTCAGCACTCTTGACTGATTTTGTAATCAATCCATTGCTGCCGTTTTTCCTCCTAGCTGCACAACATGCTCAGTGCCAGAACTCCCCGTCTGACTTGGACACTTGGGGGAAACACACCCTTGAAGGGCTTGCAGCAAACAAGATCTTCTGCCCCCTTCTCACCTCGCAACTTAAGGATGGGAAGGAGAAATCAAAACAGAAACCCCAGCACGAGTTCCCTCAATCCTACCTGTCATCTTGTTGGTCCAGGGTAAGGAGTACTCCAGCAGGGACTTCAGGACTTCCGGAAAGTCCAGGGCAGCGGGGCCCCTGGGGCTGTTGCAGCTTGACATGTCCTGTCCTGGGAATGAGCTAGCACGGCTAAGGGAGGGCCAGGTGCCTGGCTGCCAACGCTACCCCCCACTCACCTGGGCGTTGCGAGAAGGGCTCGGAGGCACCCGGAGCAGGCTTGCCAAACCACTCCTGCTGAGAAAAAACAAGGAGGAAGGGAAGCAGCCTGGCGGAGATGCAGTTTGCCCAGCTGTCTTCACCGCCCCCTCTCCCACTCTGAAGTGGCCAATTGTGGAAATAGCTTGCAGCCTCATAGGGCTGGGCCGGGCAGCTGGCCAGCGTGGTTTTACAGGGCCTCTCCCAGCCAATCCGGCAGCAAAGAACTGGGCCAGTTATCTAACTTTGCAAAGGCAGCACCCTTTTCCTTTCCAAGGTGTTATAACAAATATACACGTTGGGGGGGAAAAAAAAAGCAAGCAAGCAAGCGCTGTCAGGGGCACACATGGCTGCAAATGCAACAGCAAAGGGATCCTCTGAAGGGCTCTGGGGGCTCCGAGCTGCCCCACGGAGATACACACGCTGTCTGCATCTGCCTGCTAACTTTTCAGCTCTCTCAGATGCGGAGAGTGACAATATTTGTATATGATGCAACACTTACTGCGTGTCCCTCCTAAGTCAATATTGATAACAGCATAAGCCATCTTTCTTATCAAGTGTTCATCATCCCCAAAATGCAGAATTTCTCTTCATAAGTGACACAGAGTTTTATCAGAAAGCTGACAGCCTCCTCTTGGAGCAGTGATGTAAGGCAAGAGAGTTCATGCACCCTGCAAATACTCTGATAACAGCTGGTTAAGTAAGATCTTGAGCATGCAAAGTCCCTCCGCTCCTGTTAGTGAAGTTTTTTAGCACGGAGGGATGGATTGGAGACAGGAGGATAAAGGTCTGATCTTCTTTATCGGGATCTGGCTTAGGAAGGAGCATCTTACACGTGCCAGGGTCTTCTCTTTTGCTGGGTGTGATAATTAGAACAGAAGTGCCTTAATTTCTCAGTTCTCTCCTGTCCATTTTGCCAGGATCAGCCTTACAGCACCAGTATGAGTCAATAGGAACCAGGTATTCCTACACTGGTCTGTGAGTCCCAGCTCTCGGGAACAGCCCAGCAATACCATGCATGGCTTTAAGCATGAAGTGGCCTGAGTGAAGTCATTAGGACTTTTCTTGTGCCTAAAGTGAAGCATTTCACTGGCCCAGCATTTAGAGTCTTAAAAACTGATAGGGTTTTCCTCACCCACAATAGCATGGTGTTTCTGTTTGGTCCCATGAGGAAATGCATTTGATTTAACCCAACAGAAACCAAAAATAAAGAAATACCTAGCCAGGCTGGGTGGTTGGGAATTTCAAAGTAGCTGGGGAAGTTTCATGATCTAGATCCCAATCTAATCAGGCTCAGAAATCACATGGTAGATGCTTTGGTAGAATTCTTGATTATGACACAACTACATTACAACCTCTTGGGATTTTCCCTGTGGTTTGCTCCCCCCATTCCCCAGAGAGAATGTAAGAAAACAGCCAGCGATAACCATCGGTGGTGAAGCCATGCAGGAAGAACAGTCCCTTACTAAGCCCAGCCCGTTAAGGTGTCCTCCACCCACCCAAAGCTGGAGATAGCAGACAGACCCTGCAGACATTCTCAAAAGTCAGTGGATTCCGGCTGCTGGGAGCAAGAGAAGCGATCACATCTCTCTCTCCTGGAGCACAGCCTGCCAGCCAGGATGTCCGTGTCCTTTCCCAAAATCTTCCAGTCCATTCTGGCTGGTCAAGGCAAAGGGAGTGGGCTCACTCAATCCTGCCAGGCATCGCTAATGTTTGGGACAGCTACCGTCATATATGTCTAGGCCTGCTTCTCATCAAATGATGGCAAGGTAAAGTGACTGGGAATGTGGTAGCTGCCCAATGCCAGGTGCAGCTGGACCTCCTGGTTTTGCCCCAGGCTCAAACTTGTCCTGAAAGCTGGACAAACATCTGACCACGTGTCTGGAGGCACCCAAGGACTTCACAACAACTGCTGCAGCCATTGACTGACATTTATGGCTTCAGAAAATGAAGAAGTTCATTGAGAGGAAATTGTCACTTAGCATTTTGAATTATTAGTCTGCAATGGATGTTTATAAGTTTTTGTCTAGAGATCTGAGAGCGCATATCTCATCTTGTGTTTGCCATGTCCACAAAGTCTCCTGCCAACACTGTGTGTCCTTCTTGATTCATAATCCCTGAAAATCAAGCTCCTGCCCAGGAGAAGAGCTTGGGTAACATCACTAGGAGGATGTATCAACACTGCCCTGACTTCAAGTCCCAGGGAAGCAGAAACCATACTATGGAGTAGAGTCATAGCAGTGGGGAACATCTGCCTGCCCTTGTGTCCCCGCCATGGAGAGCACTTGAGCTGCTTTAGTGAATGGAGTTGAAATGTTGGCTCTGGAAAGCTGCAGGCATGGCCACAGATTGCATCATTTGTGCTGGCTGCACTGCTATCAGATAGTTATTTATTATTATTGTAATCCCATGTTAGTGGAGGTCTCAGCAGCTCTGCTCCATCACTCAGAAGCCCAGTCAGCCCTTAACAGCACATTTTCTCACAGACTCAACCAGCCATAGTCAACTTACACTGACCCTAAGTGGGTGGCACACAGAAGGGGACACCTAACGTGACGGAGAGGACCAAACTCCAGGAACACCAATTTAAATGGCAGAGGCCAGGGCTACCTTCAGTGTCTTTTCTGCAGGTCTCCCGGAGTAGCTACCCACACCGCCCAGTGGTGCTTGCTGGGCGCCTCAGCGCATTTGCCCAAGGAGCGTGTTCAGCAGTGCCACAGCTGCACACAGTCCGGAGGGGAGGAGTGGGGGTCCTTCAAAGTTTGCCTTGGTCTGTGCTCTTCCTCCTTTTAAATTTTCATTCCAAAGAGTTGCTTTTTTTTTAAAGCACAACCAAATTCTTGTCCTTTGCTTCCCCCACCCCCCCCCCCCCAACCC